TATTTTGTCCATTTGGGGATTAAATGAGCACTTGGAAGATCTCTCTCTCTCTCTCTCTGTCCTTATGTCAGTTTTTTTGATTATTGTTTACAGCTAGTGTCTCTACTGTTGTGGAACAGTTTTATTTATTTACTTATTTTACTTTTTGTTGAATACTTAGTGGAGGATTAATCTTATGATTATAAAATAAACTGAAAGTATGTCATTATAAAAATTAAAGAAAGAGTAAAAAAGGAAGGAGGAGGGAGGTGAAAGCATGAGCAGGAAGGAGGGTATGATGGGAAGTATCACTATGCACCTGAATCTGTATATATGAAATACATGAAATTTGTTCAACTTATATAAATTAAGAAAAAGTGTAAAAAGTCACAGTTTTATAGATAATGAATATATTGCAGTTATCACTGCATTTTTTAAATCTATCATAGCTCTTCATATTGTCACCATTTTAAGTCGATCATATATTGTATTTTATGTATTTCAACTCTTATTTTATGTATTTAAATTTATGCTCAAAATGTGTGAATGATTATAATCTATACATTGGTCACAAATTATATATACAAAAGAGCAACGGCTGGAGCTGGGCCAGACTGAAGCCAGGAGCAAAGAACTTCCCCCAGGTCTCCCACATGGGTACAGGGACTCATGTACTTGGACCTTCTGCTGTTTTCCAACTCCCAGCAGGGAGTTGGATCAGAAGGGGAACAGCTGGGACATGAACACAAATGGGATGCCCACACTGCAGACAGAAGGTTAACCTCCTATGCAACAGTGTCGGCCCCTTTTAAAATTTAAAACAACAATTTTTAAAATGGCTGAAGGAATGAATATAGAAATGGAAATCATGAGAAAAAATAGGAAACTGGGAGGAAATGGGTAAATTAGCGAAAAGTAAGAATTTGTGGAAATTACTAAAATAATTGGGCTAGTTGAACATATTATAAGAAATTGAAGATAAAATTAGTGACTGAAAAGCATTTATTAAACAATGGCTTAGAATGTTGTACACAGAGTAAAACAGGTGGAGTAAAGGAGGAAAGGGAGAGCTGAAAGGAAAAAGAATAAGAAAACCCAAACTGTATCTAACAAGAGTTTAAGAAGGACAAACTAGAGAGAAGGGGTAGAGGCAACACTCTATGAACTAGTGCTGATGATTTTAAGTTTAATGATAGACATGAATACACAGATTCAAGAACAAAAAATCCTAAAAGGAATGAATAAAAGTAAATGTGTACTTAGAACCATCATGGTAAAATAAAGAATAGCAAAGAGACAATATTTAAAGTAGCTGGAAAGGAAAGATCAATCATCTTTGAAACAGCAACAATAAGACCAGTGGATCTCAAACTTCAATATACTTCAGAATGTTTACTGGTGGACCAATAAGTATATTGGTTGGTGGCTTCCAAATCCAGGATCGTGAATTCTGTAGGTCTGGGGTAGGGACTGAGAATTTTCATATTTAATAACTTCACAGGGAATATTAAGATAGTTGGTCCAGAGATCTGACTTAAGGGAACCTCTGAGTTCAACTAATAGAAGAAATCTGAAAAGCAACAGTGGGAGCCAAAAGATAATGTTGAGAGAAAACAATATTATTTAACAGAGAATATGACATAAAGATTATTTTATACACAGAAATACTGAGTTTATCATTCTCACACCCTTGCTAATGAGCTATTAAAGTATGTTCTATAAACATGAGGAAATTGAATCCAGAAATTAGGAGTGGGCTATAAGAAGCAATGCTTCACAAAGAAGTAAGTACTAGGGCTGACAAATCCAAATAAGCATAAATAATTATAATAAAATATTAATACTAGTATTCATAAAGAAAAAATAAATCAAGGAAAAAATATTTTTCTTCTGGAGAAATGAGCAAATATCTTGAGGCAAAATAAAATGAAAACCCAAAATAGCCAAACTTAAGGGATATACTGAAATGACTCATAAGTGCAAAATTTAATTTCAAAATTCAAAAATAATTTACATTCAAAAAAGAGAAAAGATTCCAAATTAGCAAACTAAATCCCAATTTAGCAGATTAAGGAAATAATAAAGATTAGCACAGACATACATAAAAGGGAGAACAGAAAAAACATTGAGAAAATCTACAGAACTAAGTTCATCAAAAAGCTCAACAAAAATAACAAATTTTAGCTAGATTGAGAAAAATAAATAAAAGAACAATTAAAATCATAAATGAAGAAACGAATACTGTTCTAACAGAAATAAAAAGGATTATAAGAGCATGCTAAGAAGAAATGTGGGTAAAAAGTTGTATAACCTTGATAAAAGCAATACATTCCTAGAAACATACAGCCTACCAAGACTGAATCATGAAGAGAACAAATCTAAACTGACCTATAACTATTAAGAAGACTGAATCAGTAATAACAATACTTCTAAATAAATAAAGGCCACAGACCAGATACCTTCACTGGTGAATTTTACCAAACTTAAAAAAAAAATCTAAATGGGATATGCATTTGGCTCAGCAGTTAAGACACTACTTTTGATGCTTATGTTCGAGTCCTGACTCTGCTCCTGATTCCTGCTTCCAGCTATCTCACACCTTGAGAGTAGCTATGATGACATTGGTTAAACTGCTACCACCCAGGTGGATTGAGTTCCCTGGTTCTTGGCTTCAGCCTGGCCCACCCCAGCTATTGCCAGCATTTGGGGTGTGAACCAGTGGGTGGGAGATTCTCTGTCTCTATCCTCTATCTCTCTCTCTGAATTTCAAATGAATAAAAATAAATATATTTTTTAAATAAAGAGGAATTAACATCAATTCTCAAATCCTCCCCCCCCCAAAAAAAAAGCAAAAATGAGGGAACACTTTCTAATTCATTCTATGAGGCCAGCATTACCCTGACACTGAAGCCAGCAAAGACACAAGAAAACAAACCCACAGTATTGAAGCAAAAGTCCTTAAAAATATAAAAAACTAAACTAAATGCAGAAATATATTAAAAGGATTATACATCTTGCCAAAGTTAGATTTGTTCCTGTGATTTGAAGATTGCTCAATATATGAAAATCAATAAATGTGATAAACCACATTGCTATAGTAAGGGCAGAAAATTCCGCATAATCTCAACTGATTAGAGACAACATTGACAACATCCAACATTCTTCCATGGGAAATACATAGCTAAAACTCTCAAGTATCTCCAGCTTCTATGGTCGAAATAAAAAGAGTAAAACTGGCTTGGAAAAAAACTATCTTCAACAAACAGGACTACATATAATCCAACAAGTATTCACACAATGGATTAAAAAATGAACATGAAAGAACTAAAAATAGCATTTTGAAAATGAACATTAAAACAATACCATTTTTAATTTTTATTTAGCAAATGATTGAAAAGGCTCCAAGCCAGTAAGGATGTGGTGAGAGCAAAACACTTATACACAGTTGATACTTGTGTAATTTGGCACAACTTTTTTTTTTTATTTTGACAGGCAGAGTTAGACAGTGAGAGAGAGAGACAGAGAGAAAGGTCTTCCTTCCGTTGGTTCACCCCCAAATGGCCACTATGGCCGGCCGTGCTGTGCTGATCGGAAGCCAGGAGCCAGGTGCTTCTCCTGGTCTCCCATGTGGGTGCAGGGCCCAAGCACTTGGGCCATCCTCCACTGCCTTCCTGGGCCACAGCAGAGAGCTGGACTGGAAGAGGAGCAACCGGGACAGAATCCGGCACCCCAACCAGGACTAGAACCCAGGGTACCGGCGCTGCAGGCGGAGGATTAGTCAAGTGACCTGTGGCACAACTTTTTGGAAAAGCAGTTCCTACATATCAAATACATAAAACACATCATGCTTTTAATTTATAACTTCTGAAGTTTTTACTAAGGAACTATTTCTGAAGGAGAAACAGCCACATGTCTAGGGAAGTAGTCTTTTCAATATAATTTAGAATGTAAACTAGAAGCTCCTAATTGCCTAAAAGAAGAGTTATTTTCTTGCTGTTTTTTATAGTCAGTTATAATGATTACATTGAAAATTCTAGAACAACAAAGGACTAGCTGCTGAGATGTTAAATGAAAATAAAAGAAGGAAAAAAGGAAAAAGCAACAACAGCATTGTAAGGGAATGCAAAATCAAGATCTGGAGTAGGGTTAGTAGACTGAGGCACAACTTTTAGGAGCAAAGTCTGGACTGGGAACCCAAAATTTCGACAACTACTAAAATAATACTTTTTCTAACATCCTTGAGCAGGTAACATTTCCAATATAGATTTTAAACTTATTTGAAAGGCAGAGGAAGCAAGAAAGAATTTTCCATCTGTTGATTAACTCTACAAATGCTAGGGCAGCATCAGGCGGAAGCCGGGACCTGGGAATTCAGTCAAGGTCTTCCAGCAAGTGGCAGAGCTCCAAGCGCTGGAGCAATGTCACCTGCGGCCTCCCAGAGCTCACATTAGCAGGGAGCAGTGGGAAGCAGAGCAGGAACCCCAACCAGGCCCTGTGAGAGGGGATGCAGAGACCCCAACCAGGCCCTCTGAGAAGAGATGCAGGGACCCCAACCAGGCCCTCTGAGAGGGGATGCAGGGACCCCAACCAGGCCCTCTGAGAAGAGATGCAGGGACCCCAACCAGGCCCTCTGAGAGGGGATGCAGGCAGCCCAGACTGGGGATTATCCTGAGGCACAACAATGCCTACCCCATAAGTATTTTTGAAGAGTCCAATCAATGTGAAAACATTCACAGTGAAAAAAATTCTAAAAAGATGTATTTATCTGAAACGCAGTATGACAAAGATAAAAAAGAGGGCCAGAGAGAGATGGATTTTCCACCTGCTGGTTGCCTCCCCAAATGGCTGCAACAGCCAGGGCTGATGGAGAACTCGCACTTGGTGGCAGGGACTCATGCACTTGGACCGGGACTCCCTGCCTTCACAGGAGCCATTAGAAAGCAGCTGGATTGGTAGCAGAGTAGCTGGAACTCCAGCTGGCACTATGAGATGAAACATTTTAACTAAACATAGGCTCTGACCTTGCACTTACACCGCCCCAGAAGAGCCTCACCTGCCTCCCTCTAATCTCGATCAAGGATCTCGTCTTCGTTTCAAATTTTGATATTTTCTTCATCATTGATATTTTTGATTGGTTTTTATTTTTTGCAGCCCTTTGCAATAAAATACCATTTTCTTGAATTGGCTCCCTCTTGAAATTCACACCTCAGGCTGGTGCCTGCATTCATCTTACTCCGGGTCCTGAGCAGAATCAAGGTGTGAGGATTTTTTTTTCAAGTGCACAAACTGTTCTCAGCCTGAACTAAAGTCGCCCTTCTCGGCGGTACTCATGCCTTGGAGTAGTGACCCAGGCGTTCGTGAGCCAAGGCCCTCCTGGTGACAAGGCACATGGGAGCGGGTCATGGACACCGCCTTTGGCCTCACCATGAAGCATAAGTTGGCCCCTCGGGGGACGACGTTGCCCCGGATCTCATTGTGAAGCTCCAAGTACTCATTGATGAAGTCTACGTCCTCTTCGTGTGGTAAAAACGTTCCGTTCACACTTGAACCCAACAGCAGGAGCCACAGCTCACAGAGCCACAGCTTCAAAACGCCCCCTAGAGCCAGGGGAAGCGAGTAGGAGCACCACTCCCCGCCAAAGGGCCTCAGAGCCTCCATGGTGCCTGACCAAGGAAAGGCCAGTGCGCACGCGCAGACACGCCCCTGTGCCCTGCCAATCTAAGGGGCGGTGCAGGTAAACCCTGTAGGCGCCTCCCCCGGAAAAGGAAGTGGGGAGGAGGGAGCAGGTGAGAAGAGGAAATTCCAAGCTGGGTAAGTGGTAATGAATGTGTGTGGAACAAACTAAAGAGCCTTAAATTAGATGAATTTGAGCTTTTCACCAAAGTAACGTAGGTAAACATTATGCAGAGTCATTTCTGACACGAAAGGCTGTGTCATCATTTATTGATGAGCTATCATTTGCACAGTAAATGCTGGTGTCTTATAATTGCGCAAGAGGAAATAATCACTCTTATATGACATTGATAAAAAATTTAGTTCTATTTTTAAAGATTTATTTTATCTGAAAGGCAGAGTTACACAGAGGGAAAGAGGGGTAGAGACAGAGAGGTCTTCCATCCGCTGGTTCACTCCCCAGATGGCCACAATGGTTGGAGCTGCTCTGATCCAAACCCAGGAGCCAGGAGCTTCCTCCCGGTCTCTCATGCAGGTGCAGGGGCCCAAGGACTTGGACCATCTTCTACTGCTTTCCCAGGCCATAGTATCCTTACAGTTCAGTTGGGAATTCAATGCAGGGCATGCCCTTTGTTTTTCTCTGTTGTATCTTGTTAAATGCTTTTTCTGCATTGATAGGATCATGTGTTTTGCTTCATTTGCCTCCTGATGTGGTGGATTATATCAGTTGAACCAGGCTTATGTGACTGGGATAAATACTGCTCAGTTCTGGTGTATCTTGCTTGTTATACATTGTTGGATTAAATTTACTTTTATTTTGTTGAAAATTTTTGCGTCTACATCCACGAGAAATACTGATCTGTAGTTTTCCTATAGTGTCATGTTTTGGTATTAGGAGAATGCTGTCCTCATGGTATAGGTTAGAATATATTCCTTTCGTTTCTGTCTTCTATAACAAAATGTAGAGAATTGGGTTAAAATGTTTCCTTGGCCAGGCACCATGGAGGCTCTGAGGCCCTTTGGCGGGGAGTGGTGCTCCTACTCGCTTCCCCTGGCTCTAGGGGGCATTTTGAAGCTGTGGCTCTGTGAGCTGTGGCTCCTGCTGTTGGGTTCAAGTGTGAACGGAACGTTTTTACCACACGAAGAGGACGTAGACTTCATCAATGAGTACTTGGAGCTTCACAATGAGATCCGGGGCAACGTCGTCCCCCGAGGGGCCAACTTACGCTTCATGGTGAGGCCAAAGGTGGTGTCCACGACCCGCTCCCACGAGCCTTGTCACCAGGAGGGCCTTGGCTTACGAACGCCTGGGTAACTGCTCCGAGGCATGAGTACCGCCGAGAAGGGCGACTAGTTCAGGCTGAGAACAGTTTGTGCACTTGAGAAAAAAATCCTCACACCATGATTCTGTGCAGGACCCGGAGTAAGATGAATGCGGGCACCAGCCTGAGGTGTGAATTTCAATGCTTGGTGGAATTCTCCAGTGAATTCATCTGAGTTTGATGTTTTCCCTTTGAGGATGTTATTATTGAATCAATTTCTTTAATATGTATGATGTATTCAGATTATATGTTCCTTTTGTGTGAATGGTGGCAGTTTGTATCTTTCAAGGAATCAGTTCATTTCATCTAGGTTATTAAGTCTGTGAGCATAGACTCATACATAGCATTTTTCACTGGTCCTTTTAATTTCCATGGGGTATAAAAGGATGCCTTCTTTTTCATTTCTTATATTAGTAATTTGTGTCCTCTCCCCTTTTTTGTTAGATAGCTAGGCTATAATGTTTGCTGTAATGAATTTTACTTATTTTTTTTTAATGGTGCAACTTTTGATTTCATTGACTTCCTCTATTACCTTCCTTGTTTTCAGTTTCATTGATTTCTGCTGAGATTTTTATTATTCCCTTTCTGTTGCTTGATTTGGTTTAACTTTTTTTCTAGTATCCTAAGACAAAAGCTTAGATGATTGCTTTTAGATTTTTCTTTCCTAATATATCAATTCAGTGCTATAAATGTCCTTTTGAACACTGCGGTTTCTGCAAACCACATATTTTGATAAATTTCATTTTTTATTTTCATTTCATTTAAGAAATTTAAAAATTTCTTGAGATTTATTTTTGGTCCATGTGTTATTTATGTTAATATTTTAAAGTGTTTAAAATAGAATTAATGAAAAATTTGAAGTTACGTCAGAGGGGTATTGTTTAATCATTAAGTATTTTTAGGATTTTTCTCATTATATTTCTGTTATTGACTCCTTGTGGTCTGAAAGTATTTTATTTTATACTTAAAAATTTATTCAGGTGTATGTTACAGTCCAGAATGTAACCTATATTTGTGAGTTTTCCATGTGATCTTGGGATGAATGTGTATACTGCTCTTGTTGGATTAAGGAGTCTAAACATGTCTGTTACATGCTTTGACTGATGGTGTTGTTGAGTTCAACTATGTCCTTACTGATTCTTCTGCCTGCTGAATCTGTACATTTCTGATAGAAGCATACTGAAGTTCCCAGCTGCAGTAGTGGACTCATCTATTTCCCCTTGAAGTTCTACCCAATTCCTCTAAAATATTTTTGTATTCTCCTATTAGGTGCGTACACATTAAGGATTGTTGTATCTTCTTAACGATTAGACCCCTTTAATCATTTTGGAATGCCTTTATGTCTAATAGCTTTTCATGCCCTGAATTAGGCTGTGTCCAAAATTAATATAACTCTATTTTCTTTTGGTTAGTGTTACAAAGTTAATTTCTCAAACTCAGTCTCTTAATATGAGCATACAGAGGAAAGCAACCCAAAGGCATCTGGTTTGGGTAAAAAGAGGTTGAGTTTGCTGAGAATGTTTTGCAAATACTCAACCTTTCAGATCTATCAGTGGATTGACCCATATAACAAGAAAAATTTAAAATCCTAAAACATGCACTTAAAAATTCATACACTTATAACATATGATTATTTAATTATTGTTTCTTAAATCATAGGTTTATCTTAGTACCAAAACAGTTTTTCATTTTCTTCTAAGATTTTATTGTTTGTGACTTGTTGGAGATTGAATTTTTGGGCTACAAAGCTGTCCCTTAAAAAGTCTTAACTTCTTTAATTTTGAAAGTAATGAAACAATTTAATATATTAAATTCCTTAAAAGCATCAGAATTTTTATTAAGTATTGTTAAAATTATTTCTTTCTTTATAAGCAATGTGGAAAATTATGTCATTAAATTATTTCATTTAAATGCTGCTGTTTTTGGACTTTATGAATACACATTTATTTTTCATTGTTGTGTCTAACATAGATATTGCTTTCACTTAAAAATGAAGTAGGGCAGGCATTTGGCCTAGCAGTTAAGATACCTGTGTTCCAAATTGGTGGAGTAACTGGGTTTGAATCTCAGTTCTGTTCCTGCTTCCAGTTTTCTGCCCATTATAGGTAGTAGTAGTGACCCAGGTAGTAGACCTGAATTGAGTCCCTGCCTTCTGGTTTTGGCCTTGCCCTTACCTAATCGTGGCTGTGGTGGGCATTTAGAGAAGGAACAAGCAGACTGGAGCTCTCTCTCTGAGTCAGTATGTCTGTCTGTCTCTCTGGTTCTCCAATAAATTATTTTAAACAAAAAGAAAAATATTTAAAAAGTAGAAACAAATAAATAAAAGTAAAAATTAAGAATTGAGTTCCTGGCTCCTGGGTTTGTGTTTCTGGCCACTATAGGCATTTTGAGAATGAAAAAACATATAGGACATGTTTGTCTACCTGTTTGTTTCTCTTGCTGTCTCAAATAAATAAAAACTAAAAAAAATTAAAGGTACTTTTAGGACATTGACTTTAAGCCTCTTGCTTATCTCATATGCTTTTGAATTTTCCTAAGCTCTAATTTCTGTACTCCGTGCTTCAAATTTTAAGGAAATAGTAACCTTCCCTACCATTATATTCTTGATAAAAGCTAAAAGTTCAAAATACACTTTATGTACACTTAGTATAATCTTGAAATAAGGCTAAAAATGTATTATTTTGTTCTGTGAATCCATGCTTTTGGGAAGATAATCTGTTTTTACTTTATTGGCTTTTTTTCTCATACTTTCTCTTTCCCAAAGTTTTCACTTGATGTATCTTGTCTGTAATTAAAATATTCCCAATTTTATATGGTACATAGGAAGTATTAGATGAGAAAATCAAGTGATGTGACATTTATAAGCCAACATCGAAAGGTAGATAGACTTTTATTCATTAAATGTAAACAGAGGACAACCTAGGAAGAGATTGGTAGATAAATGCCCAGGAAATAAAATAAAATATCCTAATAGGGTATAATTTAAATTTTAAGAACAGATTTTACCTTTAAAAGCTTCAAAACTGAGTTGATTTTCCTTTTTGAGGTTTTTCCTTTAATTATTTCCCCTGTCATGTATCATGACCATATTACACACTGTCTAAACTACCTCAATAACGTT